CGTTGGCCGCACCTTTCTCAGTTACTGGGTGTTGAAAACCAATTAATATACGGACCCGGATCTTCACCCCTCACAGGCACGCCCAGATGCACCTACACAACCGCCGTTAAATATAGACATCAAATATGGTTATGGCTGAACAGACTGATGAGTTTTGTACATGTTTGCACAGCAAACCACACCTCAAATTCCCGCCCCTTAATAGGCAATTTAATAACCTCTGGAGATATCACTGAAACATTTGTGAAGAACAAACTAGTGATCAAAGCAATTCTGAAATACATTTATTTATTTAAGTTGTAGTTGTATTATTTCAATTTTATTATAAAAATAAACTTCATATTTATCAACATGATATAGGTAATGTCTGTGAATGTCTACATCTCTACAATCCAAGATGGCGGTCAAATGTAAATAACGAACAACGGATATAGCGAACTAAATTTCTTGGTCCCTTGGAGTTCGTTATATCCGTGTTCTACTGTATAGCTCTTTAGAAAGTTTATCGGGTACATTTTATATTCTTTGAACCATGTGTACACTTCTAAATCTGCAAAGAATAAGGGAGGCCTAGGAATGTAAAAAACGAGCTATCACAATCCTGAAAAAATAATAACTAAAAACATAACAAAATAACTAAAGCCATAAATGCTTGGAAAATGCTTTTGGGCAATTATTTGATAATGGGTGATATTTCAGATTCAAAACACATATATAATCATTCATACCACCTCGACCTAACATGGCATATGAGTAACCACGATGTACCATTGCCTAATCATAATGATTACTTGTAAAATATCGAAAAACTTAGAAAACAATCCATGGTAGAAACACTTCTAAGAAACAAACTGCTGTCAACCACCTATGATCTGTTTGATTGGCATTTAGAATCTGGCATTTCTTATGTGAACCACCGAACAGGCAGACAGGGGGACAGCGTTATGTAACGCACGGGCAGTACATTTCAGGTACCGTCTCAAAATTTCAAATGTCAGTGTCACTGCTGGTGGAGGACTCGAGCGGAATTACAACAGGACATTTATTGTATCTTTGATCTCATCTTGTATTTTAGCACACGTCGGTGGGATTTTGCGTTCAAATACAGTTTATAAATTGCACGGCGTATGACACCCTCATCAAAGCTATCCAGTTTGTGTTTTCTACCTGGTTTTGATTTTGACACGACCCCTGATGAAACTGATTTGTTTACAACTTTGTAAGTCTGACTACATTGTATATGTCAAATTAAGGGCTTTACACATTCTATAGTAAACCCTGTCATAGCTGACGAGAGGTTTCGCCCTTTGTTTCGCCAGTATGAAATACTGGAATAAATTTGAAATTAATTGTTCTGCAGAGATATCAAGTCGCATGTTGCCAGTTCAATGCTCATATACGAAGTGAAATGTCTATGGGTGAACAAGATTATCTATGCGATTTGAATTAAGACTTTTTTACGTAATTATCTTGAACATAACTACTACAAGAATTCCATCTTTTTCACATGTAGATGTTAAAAAAACCCACAACTTTTTACAATCATTTATGTAATTTAATTAGTTGAGGCTATATGAATAATTACAGTCTGTATTTCAAAACTACAGTCTGTACTTAGAATAATTACGAATGTTGTTAAGACGTCAAAATTTCCCCTGTGAAGACACCCCTCAAGTGCATTTTTTCATCCGAACTTTAATTTCCAACTAGGTAGAGTCGTACATGTAACATATATGTGCTTTTATCTTGTGTCAAATTCCTCATATTGATATTGAAGACAAAAAGCATTTTCCAAGCATTTATGGCCTTAGTCTTTTTTTTCTCTTTTTTTTAAGAACATGGTCTCGGTCGCTTTAGCCTTGTGTAAACAACACACTGAAAGCGTTATACATAAGTGTGAACTCATTTGAATAATAGGTTTACTCACGCACAAAATTTCCTGTTTTTGTGTTTTTTCAAACCTTTGAATCCCACGCAAGTTCACCAAGCGCAGTATACTGGTTTTACGACTGTTATTAGCTGCGGGTCTTGTTTTGTACAATACCCAGTGCCTGTCCTGGTCTCAGGTCAACAGACCTGTTCAGTGGTATAAGATTTGAGAATTGCACAGTGTTCGTTTTGACACAGTTACTGAAAGAACCTAGTACAAAACCCATCCCCTTTACGTTCAAAGTACAATGTTGTTCTCCATAGTTGTCGCAAAGCACACACAGACACACACACACAGAGCCATAAATTATGAACGGCCCCGACAGTTGGTCTGTGTCCGAGGGTTAGATAAAATAATCTTTTCGAAATGATTATATTTATATATAATTTGTATCAATGTTTTTGTGACTTGTGTCCATGAGGCATCGAGCCTTTTTGAGAATATCTTCCAGTTATGTTTGTAATCTATTTCCGCGAATGAGACCCAAATAGTTTATTGCCACGAAAATCACATGGACATTGTTGTTATAATGGCAAGGGCGTTTCCTCCCTGAAGCTTCCTATGATGTATCCCTGTGGAGGTGTTGCTTTTCTATCACTAACACAGGGTTAAACGACAGTCCAGTTCATACAAACAGGTAAATGTTGTTTTCTTAACCCTGAAACAAATATAACCTCCAGCAAATACGAGAATGTGTTGATGTGGTCATCATCATCATCATCATCATCATCATCATCATCATCATCATCATCATCATCAGAATGTCCCCATAGTCAAATATGTAAATATTAGGGCTGCGCAATATAACCGGTTTACCGGTATTTACCGGTTCAGACATGAAAACGATACGTATTGCGATACGCTGATCGAAAACCGGTATTTTGACTTGCATTCGGAAAACTTCGTAACACTCGGAAATCTTCGGATATTTCCTTTTTTCATTTGTGCCAAATATTATTCACATTTTTATTTTTAATCATGAATAAAAGTTGTTATTAAAGCTTAATCAAGCATAGTGATTTTGCTGTGTATTTGCTCTATAAATCAAGCATTACCTCGATTATAAGTAGTTTTTTGTTTAAAAATACTTCATGCAATATATTGCAATACATATCGCAATACATGCTTTCGCATCGCAATATATCGCAATATGAAAATTCTCTGCAATACCCACCCCTAGTAAATATACATAGAGTCTGCCAGGAGAGCGGAAGGTATATGATTCGATCTTCTTCGGTGATCTGATTGGTTTTAATGTGAAACTGCATGATGGTATTTTCGTTGGCAAGCACAATGAAACATTTATTACATCACGTACATGCGCGTCTCTATTAGCGCAATAATCTTAATCCCTATGTCACCTCAAACTTTATACGAAGATTTT